GGGTTAGGTAGGACGGATGGAATAGACCGGTCAAGGTATAATGTTGAATAAGGGAATGTGCTTGTCTTTTCTCTTATCACGAAGCTTGAAAATAAGAGGGTGTCAAGATGCCTGAAACTGACGGCGCATCGGGTGCACCCAAGAAGGGCCAGACACTCGATGACCTCATCTCGGTCATCGACTGACATGAAAGGAATCCGAGCAATATCCCAAAGGTCGATACCTTCTATTTTTGTGGGGAAAAAGTCTCGGAATGGCTGGAGCGGGTGGAACAAGCTTTGGTCGGGCGGTCGGACATTGTAAAGTTTCAACGCATCCTTTAGTATGTCCTCCACAGCTACCACCAAGAGGTAAAGAAAGTCATAGATGCAGCCCAAGGTAGCTGGGAGAGGTTCAAGGAGGGGATGCAGAGGAAATACCGCCTGGGAGACGGGTTGTTGACTACCGCGGACCTTGAGGCGATGAACAAAGAGGATTTTACAACGATAGGGGCCTTTGTTCAAGAATTTAAGAAGAGGGCGCGGAAGGTCCATGGGATTTCAGAGGAAGCACAGTGCGCCATCTTCCTGGGGCTACTCACGGCATCGGAGGCCGTCGAGTTGACGAGAGCACCAAGCTCACCTAGGCCACCATTGATAGAGTGGTGGAAGTGGGATGTTTGGTACAGGCCGAGCAACGTCAGGTATGCCTGTAAAGGCAGAAGAGAAAGGAAAGAGATGCGACCGCTTCTGGGACCCCGGGGGTAACAAGGATTGTTACAGACGTATTGGCATAGCTAGGGTATGCGACAGATCCGGTGGTGCAAAGAAGGGTGGTGACGACTGTCAAAGTGAAAGGAAAGGGGCCGGTGATAGAGGAGGTTGTTCAGAAGGAGTTCTGGGAAGAGGAAGAGCCGGTGTCGCAGCACCTGACGAAGGTCCAGCGCAAAGTGCGTAATTTGGCGCAGGGCGGACAGGGATCAGGAAAAGCGCAGGCGCCTCAGGCCGAGGCAGCAGCCCCTTTAAATGTGGCGGCTCCATCATCTAGTACGGGCCCCTCGCAAGGTGGGGCGCCCTCCTACGGACAGTGGCCCTGGCCGGTGATCAATGCAATTGTGCCATGGGGAAGCCCGCCACCAGTAGCCGGACCGCAAATGAGTATGCCACCGCCCATCTACCCCGCAGCCCAGGCCCAGCCTGTGGCCCCGCCGCCGTCACCTTCTCCTAGTTCACAGGGCAGTGTGGCAGGAGGTGGGAACCAGGGGCAAGGCAATCAAGGCAACGGAGGGAGGGGTGGAGGAAGGGGGCGAGGCAGGAATGGCGGCGGAAGAGGGAGGCAATGGAATGGTCAAGGCCAGGGGTACCAAGGCCAGGGGAATCAAGGCCAGGGGTACCAAGGCCAGGGGAATCAAGGTCACGGGTACCAAGGCCAAGGGAGTCAAGGCCAGGGGTACCAAGGCCAGGGGGATCAGGGAAGTCAGGGGTATGGAAGACCCCGTTTTGACTGGAGGACGACCATCTGTCAACATTGTGACCAGCAAGGCCACACTATAAGGTTCTGTAATATAAGACGGGAAGAAGAGAGATGTTTGAGGAGGCCATTGACAGAAGGCTTGGAAGGGTGAGGGCGGAAGCCCAGCGAAGGGCGGCAGCTGGGCCACCACCCCCTGCCATGTCCAAGCTATGGCAGGAAAAGGAGGAACCACCGATTGGGGTGGAGGAAGTGGAGAGCGATGAGGAAGTGGCTCAAGGGCTACGAAGAGGAAGTAAGACGGAAGAGCCCATAATCATCGAGTCAGATGACGAGGATCAGGAGGAAAGAATGGAGCCTTCGTCCGTCTTATTTGGGAAGATGGAGGACCTGCTGGATAAGATGGGGAGGTACCAACAGAAGTTGGTGGGCCTCTGTGAGGAAGTGAAGGGATGAAAGTCTAACATCCCCAAAGTGTTCCTCTATGACTCCGGCCCGGAGTCAGCACCTGGGCGAACCGGAGTAAATGTGGTGGGGTCGTGCCCACAATCGGGGATGAGGGGAAGACCCCTCACTCCGCAGGCCCGGCTGACACAGGCAGCGTGAACGAGGAATCAAGCCAAGGCCAGTGCCAGCCAAGAGCCTCCAAGGAGAGAACCTGAATCAGGGAGAAGGAAATAAACTGTGGAAGTAGAGGACAACGATGATGAAGAGGAAAAGGACGAGAAGCTGCGCAGAGAGGAGGATCAGAGAGCGGAGCAGCGGGCAAGGAAAAAGGGAACCAGGGGAAAGGCCGAACCGGTCATACATGACGGACCACCAAAAAAGAAGAAATACGCGGCTCGGTTGGAAGAGGGATTTGACGTAGAGAGAGTAATTGACAGGCTGCTGGAAGGGCATAATGACCTCATGACCCTGAAGAAAATCCTAGCGTCAGCCCCGCGACTCCGCGATGAACTGAAGGGGAGATTGTCGCGGCGCCTGGTACCCAATGTCCACCTGGGTACGATCCTGCCCAAGGAAGCTAAGTGGGCAGAGTCGGGGACGGAAATGGACTGGAAGTGTGTAGCCTGCGGCACGGTGGATTTGGTGGTGAAGGGCTCCAAGTGTGCGGCAATGGTGGACACCGGGGCCGAAATGAACATCATTCGGGAGGCGAACGCAATCAGATTCGGGCTGGATATAGACCGTTCTGACTGCGGTATTCTGCACGGAGCCAACTGCAAGGCCGCTTTTTGTGGGACAACCTCGAATGTGCTCATCGAGGTTGGAAAGGTGAAGGCCAGAGCATGCTTCTTCATAATGCCGGACGTGGACCATGGAATCCTCCTGGAGAGGTCATTCCTAAGCAGGACGGAGACCGTGATGTTCAACAAACATGACGGGACTCTAATTCTTCTCTTATGCGATCCTGCCTGTGGGAATTACGAAATAATTACCTGCAGGAACACCAGGTCAAGGAGTATAAGGAACCGGCCCAATCCAAGATCATTCACGATCGAGGTGTCGGAAGGGGAGCGCCGGAGGCTCCGGGCAGAGCCCGAAGCAGGAAAGAGGGTGGAAGCATTTTCCCTCAGCCTGTCAGATGTTGGGAAGGCCATGGACCTGGTGGTCGCGCACGAGATGGCAGATCCGGATGCCATCCAGGCCTTGAGGGAGCAAGTTCTGGAATGCCCCAAGGCAGGAAGGTTGGAGTTGGTATATCGGCTCCCAGACAGCGGAGGGCGCCTCACATCAACACAAACACAATCTGTGAGTCGACCTTTTTTAGGGGACGGCTCAAGCAGGGTTCCCAAAGGCGGTACAGGACGGTAGACAAGAAGTGCCGCCCGGTTACAGAGGACGAGGAAGCATATTACGAAAGGGAACGAGGGTTGATACGGCGAATGAGGGAGAGTGCTCTAGCAGGGCCATGTCGTATCAACGAAGGGGACGAGGGGGAGTTGATTATAGGGGAACCCGACTTCCTACTGCCTTAAGAGCGAACATTGATGGTGGAATTAATGAAGAGGAGGCATCACGCCTATGCGTTTAGCGACGAGGAGCGTGACAGACTGGATGTGGACAAGATACCTATGATCCGCATCCACACCGTGCCACACGAACCTTGGAACATGAGAGGGGCGCGATATCCTAACCGTGACGAGGAAAAGAAGGTGGTGGACTACCTCAACGGCAAGATAAGTACACACGTCACCGACTATTCTAGTGGACCGTATGCGTCCCCGTGGTTTTGCTTCATTAAGCCTAACGGGACGCTGCGATGGGTGCAAGATCTGCAGAGGTTAAATGCGGTGACCTTGCGAGATGTTGGAGGACAGCCAAATGTGGATGCTTTGTCAGAATTCTGTGCTGGAAGGCCTATAATTTCGCTTATAGACCTTTACTCAGGATACGATCAGTTTCCGGTTTACCCGCCGGATAGGCCGGTGACGGCTATGCATACGCCGCAAGGATTAATCCACATGAACGTGGCCCCTCAAGGGTGGACCAATGCGATAGCAATGGTCCAACGGGCCATGATTCGGGTTATGCAGTCAGTCAGCCCCCATATTACACAGCCATACATCGACGATTTGGCGGGGAAGGGGCCGACACTGAAGGAGAGCGATGAAGTCTCGTCAGGGGTAAGACGCTTTGTTTGAGAGCATATCCAGGACCTCGAAAAAGTCATGAGCCTGCTCGAGGAGCATAAACTCACGGCGAGCGGGGCCAAATCCAGACACTGCATGAGGGAAGCGACTATTTTGGGGTTCGTCTGCAGCGAGAAGGGTCGGAGGCCGGATGTGAAGAAGACGGACAAGATTACTGAGTGGCCAGTTTCGTTCCACTCAGTAACTGATGTCAGAAGCTTCCTTGGTACGTGTGGATTTTGGAGGGTCTTCGTCAAGAATTTTGCCGCTAAGACTGAACATTCGAGGAAGTTAGTTCGTCAGGACCAGGAATGGGTTTGGGGTGAAGAACAAGAAGAGGTGGTAGCCAGAATGAAGGAAGAATTTCGAGAAGGAGGGTTGGTGTTAAGAGCGCCAGATTATGACGCCACAGAGACGCGACCCTTCATTGTCGAAACGGATGCAGGGCCGACTGCTTTAGGGGGAGTTCTAATTCAGGCAGACATGGAAGGAAAGGAAAGGCCCTTGCGATTTGAGAGTCGGACTCTCTGTACGACGGAGAGGAACAACTCTCAGTTCAAGAGGGAGACCCTTGCCGTCCTCCATTGTCTGCGAATCTTCCGGAACTACATCGTCGGCAGGAGGTTTATTTTGAGAGTGGATCCGACCGCCCTGGCCTACTCTCTCAGGAATTACGTTCCATCGGATCCGACGGTTTCCAGATGGCTGACGTACATCTGGATGTTCAATTTCGAATTGGAACGGATACCTGGCTGTAAGAACCGGGCGGACGGGCTGAGTAGTATCAACTGGGATAAACAGGAAGGGGAGGCGGAATACGCCCCCAGTTGATGAATTTCTAGATCAGGAAGAAGATGTTCGTCTCCACATCAATAAGTGGTCGCCGCGAGTGCCCAGCTGTGTAGGCTATCCTATTTGGCAAATGCCAAGTGGGCATGAACGGAGGGATGAGCTAGTCCTTAAGCCCTTTGAGGAAGAGGATCCCTTAGGTGGTAAGGATGTTTAGTGGATGATGGAGCTAGCGCTGGCCAGCTCGCATAGCCTGGTGGAGGATATCAGGACGATTGAGGAAGGACCTGGCCAGGTAGAACGCCATGAGGACCTGATGGGAGGAATGTATCTCCTCGTCAATACGTTATTGCAGGAAAGTCTAGACCAGTCAGGCTCGTTGAACCTGGCAGGGAATGTGGACGAAGTGCCCGAGAGCCAGTACGACGAGTTCAAGGAAGGGGAAATTAAGGAGGCTTTTCGTGCAGAGGAGTACGACGAGATCTATCTAGAGTCGGGGTTTCTTCTGTCATGTGAAATACGGCTAAGGGATGCAAGCGATAGGGCTCAGAGGATGCTGCAGCGCTACTTAGTGCGAGACGACCACCTTTTCGCGAGAAGAGAAGTGGGGAATCCTAGGAGATTCGTCTGCGGTAGGAATCCTCAGATCGACGTCGTAGCAGCGCTTCACGATGGCATTGCAGGAGGGCATCGAGGGGTACAAGCCACGTATGCCAAGATAAGTGAGTTGTACTATTGGGATGGGATGATTGATGTGGTCGGGAAGTTCTGCCGATCTTGCGTACCTTGCCAGGAAAGATCCCATTTAAGGCAAGGAGAGCCGCTGCATCCAAGGCTAGAGCGAGAGGTGGAGGCTGTAGTGCATCTCGATCTACTTTTTATGCCGCTTGGGGACCGGGGCTATAACTATATTTTCGATTCGCGCGATAACCTGTCTGGCTTCGTAGACGGCCGTATTATTCGCAAAGACCGGGTCAGTGCTGGTGAGCTGCATCGAGGAGTATTACCTACGCTATCCTTTTGTCAAGTAATTCGTAATGGACAGGGGATCGGAGTTTACTTCCCAGGAGGTGCAAGAACTTTTATCAAGGTATGGTGTGGCAGCCAACTACACCACGGCCGCGCACCCCCAGGCAAATGCTCCCGTGGAGAGAGGACA